AGCACCAAAAGTGATCGGCTGTCGCGCTTACGGCTGCTTCGTTTAAAAGTTCGTGAGTGTTCGTGTTCCAGGACATAAGCGAAAACAAAATTTTTTCTTCCTATAATATCATAATTACGTAATGTAAAAACCAGAAATTACCGAAATTCCACAAAAAAATGTATTTCGAAGACGTCCTTGCGATATACGGTTATGTTGTTATACCCCTTAAGCCGTAAATGGACCCATTTGTCCTTTGTGGTGCCTGATGTAGGTTCTGTTTAACTTGATGTAAAGTAGTCATTGCGTAGATCGTGAATGTTTTTTGTATATTTAAAAAACTACTTCTAGACCTCCGACCAGCTAAACTTCTAGATGACTAAGATTTGTTTTAATTAATGCCGGGTAAGAACATTTGGGGTTCTCAATCAGCAACAATTTCTATATGTGTGTCTGCGTCAAATACTCGTGAGTTATGTAATTGCACCTTACAGTCCTTTCGAGGCCGCATAAGTGATTGTGTTTTCCTTCGCAATATTGCCAGTCGTGAAAGCACTCTGATGTGTCTCCCAGTTTTCTCGGTTATTCCATTATACAGAGTCTTTTGCGATTTTCGTATTCAAAGTACTGATTCGTTCGTTATACGGAAGTCATTTTTAACCATAGCCCGAGAATGTTCTTGTGACTAAAAACCAATTGATATACTGTCGCTTTCCGGCTGCCAGTAGAACCGCGGCCTCTCTGCTTCCAAAGACATTTTCGGGTGCAATACGTTGCAAGAATATTGTTTTAATTGCTTCTGACAAACCCAGCGTTGATGTGATGAGTAAGCGATCCGGCACTACGATTCGATATCTATTTTTGGAACAGCAACTTTCAACTCCAAAAATTGTAAGAAATTTGCTCAATTTACTCAACTCCCCAGACTTGGATTTCATTTGTTCGATTTTTTTTTGTCAACGCAAAGACAGCAGATATCGCGAAGTTAAAGTGATTCAATGGGTGTTGAGCGGCATTACGAAGATACGACAATACACACGAATATTTCCATAATCTAATTGATCATACTAAGCCTTGTTTCGAATCAGAGGGCTGTGGATTGAAATGAATATATTTAACAACAAAAGCTATTTATTTATGTATTAAATGAAATTTGCAGAAATCCGTGCGTATTCATATTTTTATATTTATTTTATTTTATTTTATTTTATTTTATTTTATTTTATTTTATTTTATTTTATTTTATTTTATTTTATTTTATTTTATTTTATTTTATTTTATTTTGAAAATGTTAAGGAAAACAATTTAATAAATTATAAAACGTTCACTTCGAAAGGCAAAAAAAAACACAAGAACGCGTAAAATGTTAAGGTTGAAGTCGGTATACAAATATTCGACACACAATATATACATATATATACCTATATAATTGGCGCTTTATATTCGCTGAAGTGTTTTTCGGCCGAGCTGTTGCTCCAATTTGTGGTTTATTCTAAGCCGCCAGAGAACGGCCGATAGATTTTCATGTGGAACTTTTATTCCATGTCTTGACATTCCCCGCCTAGGGGCGACGGCAGTTAAAAAATTTAATTTTCTATAACTTTATATGTTGGTCGGACCAAAACTCGTACCCTGGACTTTCGAATGTCAGTACGCAATGCTAAAACCTCGGCTATTGTAGCCGCCATATTCCACGTATTTACTCAAAAAAATACATATACATACATACATATATGTATGTTCAACAAATAGGTACATACGTGTACATTCATATGCCATGCTAATTAGATAAACGGGTTTTAGTGTTTCATAAAATTCACAAGCTGCCGAATTTTTTATCAGTACGCCAGCATAATTATCAAACTTGTTGCTTTCAAATGCCTAAAGTTCATACACAAAACATATGGGAGTATGTACATATATATGTGCATATATATTGACATGAAAAAAGTAAATACTCAGACAGTTAAGGGTATTCATGTATGTATGTATGTATGCATAAAATACTCTATAAATGTACATGTGAATATTGGACATCGAAGACTTAAAAGCTAATAATATTTTGTACATTGGCTCATACATATGTATGTATATACACATTTGCGTCAATATTTGCATAGCTGTTGCTGTTTTTTATACTATTTATAGATACAAACATACAACGTTTGCCTTAAAAAAAATATTATGCTGGAATGTAACTTGGTAAAATGCTAGATTTTTTTTGTACTTAATTCATAATAGATTAAAAAACACGTTATACAGAACATAAAAATTTACTAAGAAAAAAACAGCAAAACTATTTATTTAAGCCAAATCGTGCTTCAAATTCTAATGTTTTTGCTATTTTTAGCGAGTTGTAGCAACAACAGCGTCCGCCAATACAACGCAGTAAAGTTGAAGAAAAAAACAATTCTTGTGTTGTTGTTTTCGAAATTTTCACAAGTATGTAGTTTAGTTGTCTAATTTTTCTCTTGTTACTTTTTTCTCTTATGAATTTTTTCAATTATTTTGCGATATGTTTTGCTTAGTTTCTGCTCGCCAATACTTCTCGAGCAGCAGCAGGAGCAACAACACATTTGTATTCATGCCAAATTTCTCAGCATAGTTACTCGTACTCACTCGTATTCAAATAATACATGTATATAAATATATAATATATGTGCATATATATACATGCATACATATATATATACTTTATAACTATACAAGTATATTATTTTATTTATGCATACATAAGTATGTACTTAGAACCATAAAAGCATTACTTCACCCAGAAATTTTCGCACAACTTTCGTTTACTTTGGGTGGCAGCCACTACATGCCTGTATACATATGTATGTATGTACATACAAATAGCGTGCATATGTATGTATGTTAAACAGAAATATTTGTAATTAAAGTTTTATATATGTACATGAATATGTATGAAAAAATTCGTAGACTATTTGTACACCAACAAAATTTTATTTTGCAACATTCAAGTACATACACACAAATATACACACACTTCTGACATTTTTCCAACTCGCAACCAGTGTCCTTTTTCCCGTTATGCTGCTTCATAACGTAGCCTTTAAACATTATTACCTGTTACCTGGGCTGTATTGCCGTGCTTGCGATTCAATATCGGTAGGTACTTTATATGCGGTCAGCCCAGACATTTTTTCTTTATTTATTTGTTTTTTTTTTCTTTTCTCCTCATAAAATGTTATTCGTGCATGTACTCGTAAACAATAACACAAGCACTGCAATAAGTAACCAAAAAGGCAAAAAGGAAAAGAAAATAAAACTAAAAACCAAGAAAAAATGCAAAGCAAATGTAAAAGCAACGGTAATTTGTGCGCATATCACCATACCATCACGCTACCAAACCTTCTCCCACTCGTCGCTATATTAACAACCACATCCAGGTCACTGCATTGCGCGAGTGAAATTTTAATCCTTGCGCTCACTGGGTATGCGCAGCACACACAAAATTGGGAAGCATTGAAAAATTCCTGACTGACTTACTCTGCTTTTAACGACCCACCTAGCAGAGCACCTAGGGTGTTCTCCTACTAACTTACCTACATACATACATCCATACATACGAATAAATACATTCATATAAAATGTACATACATACACTAGATATGGAGCACCACGCATACCCACATTTAATTCGATAACCACCAACCAACCGTTGGCCAGTATTTTCAGCCACCAGTCAGTCACAACCACTACCCTACCAAGCGGTAGCGGGTGGGTTGTGGGATTTTCGAAAATGTCCCTTCACACCACCACAGCAAATTAAAGGAAAATTCAATCTCCTGCCCTAAAATGTATCTTTTATATGTTCTTCTTCTCGTTCACCGTTGCGTTTTTCGAACTTCAACTTTCTGGCTAATTTTTCTGGAGCCTGCTGATAATTTTTTTTTAAATTGCATTTCCTGCAAAATTTTTCTGCACCAAATACACTTGACAAACTTTGGTACTCACATTCAACACTGTTAATTGATTTTATTTAAGTTCTATTTAATTTCCAATAAGAATTTCACAAAACAAAAAATCTAATCAATTGCACTGCGAGCAAAAATTTTTTCCCGTCCGCGATAAAATGATGTGAAAGAAAAACTAATATTTTTCGCACTCTGCTAATACCTGACCAGCTCACCGACAGTGCAACCAAATCGTTGTGCTGTTAAAGGCACACAAGATGGCGCCCACTTCTGCTGGGTAAGCTGTACAATACATAATTTATAGCGTACAGCAGGTGTCGCCATTGTATATGTTCTGGTCTTGAATACTGTATTGTACATATAGTGTGTTAACAGTGAACACACAGCGGAAGTTCTGTTATCACAAAATGCCGTTCATGAATTTTGATTAAAAAGATTTCATGGAAGCAACGGATTGCAGTGAATATTTCATTGAATGACTATGTATATAATAATGTATGGGTAATAACCTTAAATATTTTACTTCAAACTCAATAATAGCAAATTTACAATTGAGTTACCGGCGACAGCGCCTGCAAAACAGTACATAAATTACAAATTAAATATTTTTTTAAATTATAATTTCAAAATTGTTTTTTTATTGTTGTACCATTTTTATAATTTTTCCTAATTATTAATTGAATAAAATTTTAAAAGCAACAAAATAACTATCACATTGGTGCAGATTTACATTGCAGCTAACGAAACCGTCTGTAAAGCGACTGTAAAGCAGTACTAAATGTTTGACCAATGTTAAGTGTATTTACTAACCATGAAAGTTTGCTTGGCATTTTTTTCTTAATAATTTAATGTATTAAATATGAAAACAACTAAATGAAGATCGTTTTCCTGTTTATATTCACATTTGTGCACTTTTTCACCGTCCGATGTCGCTCAGATCTACATATGGTCACAAGTAGGCGATTGAACATGCTTGAGCAACTCATTGCAAATAGGGGCAATAAGTAAAAAAAAAGCAAACAAAGATATCATGTTATTCACCTCACTGGTGAATAGATTTGTTAATTCTGTTGTGGAGTGCGGTTGTGTTTAGTGAGCGGCATGTCGCGACTTCTTCGGCATTAAATATTTGATTATTGTTGTTTGCCGAGTACTATACGGTTTGTTGTTGATATTGCGGTGTGTGCTGCTGCTTTATTAATTAATGTTGATTTTTTAAATTAAATTAATCAGTTGCTATATGCTTGCCATTGAATGAAAACAAGTGCTATCAAATATGTACGAAATATGTGAGCTTTATACCAGTAAAACGTGATTTACTAACCACTACTACCACTACTACTAGATTATTTCTGATCAGAAAATGAGGAAAAAATGCGGTGGTGCACAATAATGAAAGGAAAAAGAAATTAACAAATAAATAAAAAAGAAATAAAAATAAAAAGCTATTCCTGTAAATAGCAGCAGAATAGCAAGAATACACGATTTAGCGCAAAAAATTCGAAGAGTGGTAAAGTGCCATGAAAAAGTAAAATAAAAAGGCGATACGAAAAATTGAATAAGAGAAATATCACTCATTTCGTTGGCGCGTTCAATTGTTGAATTGTCTGCTTTATGAAAATCGTGTTTTTGTGTACGCTGTTTCGCCGATCAGTTTGTGTCTGCCGGTATTGAGTTCTGTGCCTGTTGCGTGCACAATTTATAAGTATTTCCGTATGTTGTTGTTGTGTTGCGGTGTGATAATTATATGAATGTGTGCGTGTTTAGCAAGTGGCAAGCTGCATTCCCAGCCCATCATCATCAACAACAGCATCAGCAACCGCATCACCATCTTTGGCATTTGCTCGCGGTAACTAAGATAGCAAAACAACAGCAGAGGTAGCCAACACCAACAGTGTGCAATGATTGCACTGCATCTCACCTTTAACAACAACAAAACCAACCATTTATTTCTTTAACTAAATGCACACAGCTGCCAGTAATATTCTCTATTTGCTATGATCTTCGATGCAAGTGTTTAAAGCTTATTGCAGACGGCGTGCGCGTAAAATAGTTATATTTATTTCTTTGTGATTATTGTTTGTTGTTTATTGCTTACGTCGGTAAACTATCTACTGTCATCATTATCAACGTTTCCTTCTATAAATCATCAATCGGCTTTTTTGTCGAACCTTACTCCAATTGGATTTAAATTTTATAATAATAAATTTTCACATAACTGATCATGCGTAGATCAGCGCTTAATCGAAATCATTATTTTGTGTTTGGCATCCTCGTTGGTTTGGCGTTGAGTTTCTACTTGCCAGAGGATGTTTGGGATCTGGTGCAAAAAGAGGAATGCCCGCAAGAGGCAGCTGAAAATAGTCTGATTGAGAAATTCGGGCAAGAATTTGAGCCACATTTGAATTTAATCAGCAAACCTTTATCAGCGAAAAAACCGGTGAGTGGTATGAGTAAAAATATATAATATTATATGAATTTGTTTTTTTTTTTTCAAGTATAAAGTTATGTATATACATATATATGAATGTACATATATATTTGGTGCTTTGTAAACGTTGAAGCGAGATTTTACCGAGCTCCTCCTCCAATTCGAGTTATAACTTATATTCTAAGATCCCTCATAACGATCGCTGAACTTTTAGCTTTGATTTTCATGTCAGAAATACACTCGGAGGGCTTGACATTCCCTGCCAAGTGATGACCGAAATTGAAAAAATTAATTTTCTTTAATTCGATTGTAATAATTGTAGGCTATTGCGACCTATTTTTGAGTCTTCAAACTTTTAATCAAAAGATGAGTAAGGTTTAAAAAAATTATGTTTGTGTTAAACCTATATTTACTTTAGCTTTTTTTTAGTGCCGAGTTCAATACGAACTGATAAACTAAAAAACTTTTTAAATAAATATGTAAATATGTACTTGCGCATATATGTATGTATGCATTTTCTAAACATTTCTGCACTAACGCCATTAAAACTGCCGTTTGTGTACTTTTCTAATTGACTCAACATTGTCTTTTTTGTTTTCTGTGTGCAAATCGCCATGTGCTTCAGTGCCATTCAAAAGTCAGCCTACACAAGTAGAACTGTACGTATGTACATATCTACATAGTATGTATATTATTCATAACTGCATGTACATACAAACATGTGAATGAAAGCAGTGCCACTTGTTCTTCATCATTCATTTGTTTACTTTCTTCAAATCGTAATGTGAACGAATCGTTCGCTTTCAGTCAACCCATGACCATTGTATGCATACATATATTTTTTTAAATTACTTTTATAATAACTGTTAATGAAGGTGATTTCATTTAATTAAAGTAATAACAACAATAATTTAATAAATAAATAAACATTGAAAAACACTAAAATTTAGCAAGACAAACGATTTATGTTAAATTACATTTTTTGGGCTGTTAAGAGTTGTCTCCTTGGTGATTTACAATAATATAAAAAAATATATGTATAAATAAATCCTATGTTCGCTATATAAAGAATATAATGTCCATGTAAAAAAGGTATATAAATATTATTTAAATTCATTAAATAAATATTCAAGTATATATATTCAATAATAAATAAATCAAGAAATAAAATACTTAAAAAATGTCTTTTCCTATTAATCAGCATTTTTCACCTCGTCAAAAGAGTTGCTGATGAGGTGACTTGATCCATAAATACATCTTTTTTAATATGCATATCTTATATGCTTAATTTTATAATTAATTTCAATTAAAAAAAAAATATTTTAAAATAAATATATAAATACAATATTAAAGAAATGCTTATTCTAAATTTCAGTTTATATACAAAATAACCGATTTGTGTGTGTTAACAATGTCTACTTCGTGATTAAATGGCTTTAAAAACTACTAAAAACGAAATACGTGTACATATTTAGTGGTTTTTAGTTTTAAAATTTTTGTCAGATCAAATCAATTAATAAAGTAACACTTAAAATATGTATCTCAAATAGTGGATTTATGTTAATCAACATTTCTCTGTTCTTAATGTCGCGCTTTAATATTATATTAATAAAAATTAAAAATATATTTTAAACTTAATACATAAATATTTGATCAAGGCAAACATTTTGTTCTTGTTTTTAAATAAAAAGAGCGATATATAATTATTTTTATTATTTATTTTCTGTTACTTAAAAGATGCAAAATGTTCGACTTATGTCAATTAACATATTTCTCTGGTTTTATAACAGTTGCCTCTGACGTATTTTAATTTTTTTTTATTTTAAAGGCAATTATTTTTTATAATTATGCAGTCAATTAAATAATAATAAAAAATTTAAAAGTTATAATTAATTTAACTTTTAATGCATACGTAAATTCGCACATTGTAAACTCTTAACAGCAGTAAATTCTTCAAGCATGTAAACATATCGATTTATGTTAATCAACATATTTCAAAACTGTTAAGGGACTTGCTACTGTCGTGTTTTGTTGTAGCTTCCGTTTTAAATGCATGCTCGTATGTGTACGGCGTGCATTGTGCGATTGTCAGTCGGAAGTGGAAGTTGCAAAGAAGTAGACTTCTTTATTTAAACATCTTCAGCCCTAAATTATTAGCGTAAAACGCATGTGTTAATTTAACATCATAATAACAGCGCTGATACACAAAATGATTATATATACATTAAAAATGGCAACAAAATTCATAATTATTAGCGCATTACTTTTCAATTGATTAATGCCGCGCATATATATATATACATACATATATTTATGGGCGCACATTTATTTGTGTACATAGAACTGTATATATATATATGAGAATTTTTTTTATTTATACTTTTTTCGCTTTTTGACCTTCCGCTTATCTGCTTTATTGAACACGTCACACGCCTTCTTCTCGCCTCGCTTCGTTGCAATTTTATAGAGGCTCATATACAAATATTTGTATATATGCATAAGTTTGCTTGAATACCGCCAATTTCCAATTTGCTTGTTGAACACGTTAACATTTTTTTGTTTCTTGTTTTTTTTTTTTGTAAATTTTTGGGAATATATTTGTATTGTTGTTGTTCTCGTACTTCTTGTTATTGTGTATCGTAAAGATAAATACACTTACTCACAGCGTGGTAAAAAGATACATACATATGCATTAATGTACATATGCATTAATGTACATATGTATCGCATATATGTATATTTATAGCTATCTGTATTGCAAAGGCGGGCCACCTTTAATTTCGTTCTTTGGCCTCTACCGATTTTACGTAAAAACCATTCGAGCGGATAAATGGATAGCACAAATATAACATACATACATACATATTCTGTTAGGGTATTTATAATTTAATGTACATATGTATTTATGTTTGTATTTGACAGTTAACACATATTGCACTTATCATTACCAGTTATTTTGCCGGTAAATATTATATATATGGTTATTTGCTATAATTTTTTTTGTATTAAAATATAAAAATTAAAAAATGTAAAGTAGAAAAAATATACCTTCATACAAATTTATGGTTTTAATACAATAAATAATATATTGGTTATAAAGTAGTTTAGTTGCAAATAAATCTCTTCTAATCTAAATTACCGCCAGTTGAGCATACGTAGTTAAAATAAATATGTACATACGAATGTGATGGGAAATTCCAAACCTTACGTTCATTTATTTCAAGACATAAAATTGGATTACAAATCGCTTTGGATGATTTTGAGTATCGTTATTACAGGTATTTTGAGCCCTGATCTATTTATAAATACCAGAAGAAACTAAAAAAAAAAAATAAATAGAGTTTAGTTGTTGTGCTTTATTGCTTTATTGCTGAGTAAAATCCGCTTACGTTTTACGTACGAAAATTTTTGTATTTTTTTCGGTTTCTAATTTAATTCAAAACTATTCAATTTATTTATATTATAAAAAACTTCCAAAAAAAATTAAAAACTAATTTTATCATTATAAACTCTCCAGCGGCTATTTGACCTATTTTCCTGTGCGTTGCTAAATTTAAACAAGTGAAGTATTTTTATAAATACACACACTTAAGTACGTTCATTCAGTGGCACATCACGTTGAATTGATGTGAGATTTGCACTTCAGATATATATGTATGCATGCATATTTTTCTTATTGTTTCAATACTCGCACTCACTCATTCATTCATTCGTGGTATATATGTATGTATGTATAAAACACTAAATTCCAGCTTAAATTTGTTCTTCATCTAAACGCACTCACGCCGAGTAAATGATTCAAATTTCATTACAATAAGTGTTGTATGTCTGATTGCTTCATTTAGCTAAAAAGAAACTCACTACAAGTCATATTAAAAATACTTACATATATATGTACAGATGTATAAGTTTGCAAACTACCTACATATGTACGAGCTTCTACATACTAAGAGCCTTCGGCACCAACAGTGATCTTTGCGTTTGCCGGTTTCCGAGTTGACTGTCAAAGTCCATTATAATTTATGCACCGTAATTTAGTGTTTGTTTGTATGTACATACATATACATACATATATACTTAGTAACTGGCATACTAACGACTTGATTTAAATATAGCAGCGTTATAAAGATATTTTTATAACTACCTACATATATACAAACATATAAATGCGCATATGTTGACATTTATATTGCGAAAATTATGTTTAGCACAAAATTACTTAATAAAAATATTAATAATAAAAAATAAATGAAATAACAACAAATTTTATTGTGAAAAATACGTGTATTTATGTACACATATCATTGTTATTGTAACCTGTAACAAAAGTGAAATTAAAATGATGTTGAAAAAGTTTGCAATTAAAAGATAAAATAACGAAGTGGTTTGTAAAATACATAACTCTTATATGCATCTGTGTGTGTTTGTGTGCAACATCTGAATGTGTTGTCAAATTATCAATTACGTTTTTTGACTTTACACACATTTCAATTGTTTGAGTTTTCAAAAAAATAATGTAGCAGAGATTTATAGTTTGACTTCTCAAGATTTTTTCCGACCAGTTGGTAAATTAGGGTATAGTAAAGTACGCAAAGTATTAAGTTTGAAACGTCTTATTTTATTTTCTTATGTCCTACAATTATTTTATACACGGTGTGTCCCAAAAATAACCGAACTTTTTGGATATAAAATAAAATACACATTATATTATTTTTCAAAGTTATTATTTATTCAAAATAGGTTTCATTTGACTCAACACAACGTTTGGAACGATCAACCAGAGCATGCATAGATTTTTTTATGTCATTTATAGAAATGTTCTTCGGTACCTTGGTTACGGCTGCTTGAGTGGCTGGGATATCAACATAAAATGCTCCCTTCATCTTAGTTTTCAGTTTTGAAAATAAAAAATAGTCACATGGAGATAGATCAGGCGAATATGGAGGATGGTCGATGTGAGATATCCCTTTTTTCATTAAAAATTCGTGCGATTTTTGGTCGTCATTTAA